GCACAGCTGCTCAGCACCAGGCAGTGCCCGTGGGACTCATTGATCAAGATGTGAGGTGGGACAGGTGGACAGGATGGCTTTGGGATGTGTGGCTGGAATGACTGGATAAACGAGATCCCAATCCCCTGCAGGTGGGGTGAAGTGGGTGGAACTTGGGTTAAGATGCTGTTGAGATAGCAAATTGATGAACGGAGCCCAGGTGGTGCTGTTGAGTAAATGCTGGGCTATCAACAGCAGATCAGCAGTTCAAAATCTACCAGGGGAACAAGATGAGCCTGTCTGCTCCTTGAAAACCCTGAGTCTGAACTGACCTGAAGGCATGAGGTTAGCGACGTCAGGGGTCTAGTGTGAGACGCAAAAGGAAAATGAGTAGCGGGGCCCAGAGACCTGGCCCTGGCCGGTCCCTTATGACGGTGGACTCAAGTGGATGAGAGCTCAGGGAAGCTGAGGTTGGTGGCCTGAGTGCTGGTCTTGTCAGTGCAATAAGGAGACAGCTGCTGAAGATCCCCTCCCCACCACCTTTGCTCTTCTCTTGGCCTCCAGGAGCCGGACCTACGACATAATCCAGTACTATCAGAATGACATCCCCTACTGAGCACAGTGCCACCTGTTATATGCGTGTGTACTGGGCAGCCCCCTCCACAGCCATGAGCCACATGGCTGCTAGGACAGCTGCACAGAAGACCCTTACCTGGTGGGCAGTGCTGGAGGAGCACAGCTGGAGGTGCATGACATCCTTTCCACAGGAGAACCACACCTGCAGCCCTTTGCAGTCTGACCCTCCCTTAGGTATGGCGTGTCGCACTGCTTCCATGACAGTGATTTGACAGCACTATCATATGTGTGAATCCTTTGTTTGCACTGGACACATTCCTACCTGTCTTATTCCATAGGTACCTGAAGTATTCTGTGCGTGTGCGTGTGTGTGTGTGTATAAAAATAAATAAATAACATACAACTTGTACAAATGAACCCCCCCCCAAAGGCTATCAAATATGAAGTCCATGTTCAGCTGAGGGGGTTTCCCAGCCAAGTCTTGGGGGAGGGAGGTGGCAGGCCCCGTACTGTTGGTTCTTACGGAGCCTTTCAGCCAGGGCCAGGCACGCCATCTCTTCAACAGTGGACCGTCCCTCTGGAAGCCTAAACCATACAACCCCCACCACAAGTTGGGGCCAGCTGGGTGGATCCAGGACCAGGACCACTGCTTCCTGCCATTAGTGGACCAAGTACAGCTCTAAGGCCTTTCTTTCCCAGACTGCCCTCACCTCCACACTCCACTCCCAACCCCAAAGGCCACCTTATTTTAAACAAAGACATAGAACAGCTCAATATCTTGAAATAAGTGCTTTAAATGAAAAAGCAAGTTATCAGGTAAGCTGCAGCTGTGACAAAGAACATACTACTGATTGGTCATCCGAAGGAACAAGGAAATTATCTGAAAAT